TAACTACGTTAGTTTTAACTCAAATTTAAACAAATTAACTTAACCTCTGGTGCAATTGCAGGGACCCACATAATGAAGAAGAAAACAAAGAGCATTCAGAGAAGATCTTGTGGATTCTCACTGAATACTTTATTCTTTTCTTCTCCTACCACCCCTATTATTTTTTGTATGTTTTGGTTTATTTTATTGCAATGCTACAGTTTACAGAGAACACACACACACACACACACACACACACACACACACACACACACACACACACACACACACACACACACAAATATATAACAATTAAACAATCAGCGTTCGAAGACCTCGTCCAGCTCCTCGGAGGTCGGTTGCGTACCCAGGATACAGCACGCATTTCCCCTCCGAACCGCGGCACTGAGGCGCTGGATCAGGAAACTGGCTGCTCGTGGGTGTCTAGTTTTCCCAATGAGTTCCTCACCCACCTCCTTTAAAAACTTGAGTGCACATTTACCCCAGGCGCCCAGAGTCCAACCCGTTCTCGCAAATTCGTATAGTCAATATTGACTTATTAACTACGTGCATAGGTGATATACTAACCATAATAGATACCCTTAAAAAGCTTCATAGAAAACACCGACCTCACCTAACCTTTTTAGTATGTTAAGATTAGCATCTTATTGCTTCGTAATTACAATTATTACTTAACCTATACCTATAATAAGTTAAGTAACAATTGTAATTACGAAGCTATAAGATGCTTATCTTAACATACTAACAAGGTTAGGTAAGGTCGGTGTTTTCTATGAAGTTTTTTAAGGGTATCTATTATGTTTAGTATGTCACCTATGCACTTATTTAATAAGTCAATATTGACTATACGAATTTGCGAGAACGGGTTGCAGAGTCTCAGAGCCTATCGGCACGAACCTGTAACAACGTTCTAGGTCTCTGTGCTTGTGGATTTTCTGGGTCTCCCTGAAGGTGGTTGCCCCACCTCCCTCCACTGAGCTGTAACGTAAATAGGTATCAGCCAATGTAGATGCACAGGTGTAATCCCATACGACCTGTTTACCTTCCCTCCATGGCTGCAGGGTGACTCCATCTGGGCGTTTTTGGCTGTTGTCAGGTCTGCACAACTGGGGTTCCCTTTGTGCTGGACACCCAGCTGTAGCCAAACTTCTCTTGATGATGTCATTGACTGCTTCGTGTCTGGCAATCTTTCCCTGTGTCTTACGACAGATGAGACCATGGCTGCCGTATTGGTCTGCCCGTGCATGGCCGCAAATACACCAGTGTTCGGTGGAGATAGAGGCGGCAAGGTGCAGAGCAACACTTAGGGTCCGATGGTCCAGGCGGGTGCCCAAGGCGGAATTAGGGACTGCCAACAGGAAGTCCCCAGCATGGGGGGCTTGCACAGCTAGGAGACGCGCTCTGTCCTTCTGAGAAGCTGCATCCAGCAATGCTTTGGCGATGTTCTCCACTATGGGGCTATCCCATTTGGCCTGTTTACCGTCGTTTGGAAAAGTTGGTCGGGTGTGTGAATTGGCAAGAGTGTCCCACTGACCAGCTCCTTCCACAAATTTGGAATCACGAATCCCAATGGAGTTCCTTAGGTATTCTGGTAGTATCTCCTTCACTAATTCACTTGTAGCACTGGTCGAGGATAAGAATGCCGGCAATGCTAACTGTGTCGCCTTGCGAATACCTATACCCCCGAGTCTAATTGGGAGCGTTGCTTGGGCCCACTGGTCATCTTGCAGGGAGAGGTTTAACACTTTCATAGTTATTGTCTTTAGGAGTGAGTCGTATTCCGTTAATTTTGGGCTGTCAAAGGAAGGAGCACACCTGAGGAAATAGGTAAGTCTGGGCAAGGCCAGGCACCTTGTAAGAAGGTGCAAAGCATCGTGAGCATCCAAAGCCCCTATTCGCGCCTCCATCCTCCTCAGGTCTAAGCTTTTCTTCGAGGACTACCTGAATGGCGTTTGAGCCCAGAGGTGCCCCTAGCAGCACACTGTCGGTGGGAGCGATCACTTGGGCTCCTGGCAATATGATTCGTACTGCATCGATGATTTCACACTTTGATGGATTTAGTGTAAGGCCTAACTCCTCTCCCCTAGATTTCACTAGCTGAAGATCTCCTAGCAGGCATTCCTGTGTCCCTGCCAGGGTGCCATCCTCCAGGAACCAGATGTTGAGTTCGCTGGACAACCTGCTTGTGACCTCCTTAGCTGCCATGCATATATATATATATATATATATATATATATATATATATATATATATATATATATATATATATGTCGTACCTAATAGCCAGAACGCACTTCTCAGCCTACTATTCAAGGCCCGATTTGCCTAATAAGCCAAATTTTCATGAATTAATGTTTTTTCGTCTATAACCTACCTAACCTAACCTAACCTAGCTTTTTTTGGCTACCTAACCTAACCTTACCTATATATATTAATTTTAACTCCAATAAAAAAAAATTGACCTCATACATAGAGAAAAGGGTTGCTTTATCATTTCATAAGAAAAAAATTATAGTAAATATATTAATTCAGGAAAACTTGGCTTATTAGGCAAATCGGGCCTTGAATAGTAGGCTGAAAAGTGAGTTCTGGCTATTAGGTACGACATATATATATATATATATATATATATATATATATATATATATATATATATATATCAATTTCCTTTATTATCTTTGCAATGCTATTCCCCTTCCTTATCGCCACACAGTAAGACAAGTTACTGGGTAGTAAGTTCTATTGTCTAGTAAGTTCTGTTAGGCAAAGGTCAGGGCAAAGTTTGAAGGGAATGGTAGCCATTTTGTATACTTTGAAGGCATAAGCAATCAGAAAATAACATTACCACAATAATGGTAACTTTTTGTTTTTCAACTTTAACTATATTTATTATTTACAAAGGTATTAACCAATATGTTTTTGTTGGCAAATTTATTTTCAATTTTATTCTGTTTTATTTGTTCAGGAAGTTACTTTCGTGTTGCGGTTGGGCAACACGAAAGTTACTTCCTGATGTATTTTTTTTCTGTCTCCGGTCGAGGTGGTTAAATTAATGTGACCATGAGTAGTATAGTGACAACTGTGCCGCCCTGGAATAGCCTTCTCGATTGTCCTCTTGCAATCAAAAGACATCGAATCGTAATTAGAATTGCCAGTTTAAATATTCTGTTATGTTCCCAAATAATGTTCCATCATTATTAAACAAAAATTGTCCACATCTCAAGGTAGGGAAGGTCAGTGAAGTTGATCAGAACTGGTAAACAAAGCCATTGAAGGGGCTTAATGACCATAGAAGCAGTAGCTTTGTTACAGTATGCTAAACTGTGGCTGGGTGTTACCGCTATAGCAAAGTATAGCGGTAATTGGCTGGTTTTTAATGCCCTACTTTCTTGTGGGACTTGAGTAACGGCTCAGGCCAAAATGAGCAGCTGACGTGTCAGGTGGGAATGAGAGAGTGTAGTGAACGAAATGAACGGTGACTCGTCCAGTTTCCGGTCTTAATCTTTAACCCCGTTGCTGAATGTACCTGCATATTGTCTCGTGTCGCTTTGTTCAACGCTGGTGGTGGTGGTGGTGGTCAGTTGATCTAATAGTAAATTTCGGAAGTGTGTGTGTGTGTATATATATATAGACTGTTTCACATGTATGTATTAGTTCCACATGTTATAAAGGCGCTTCTCAATGATGTTAATCCCAGCAGGGAGATAGGAGACGTGTTGCTGAAGTGATTCACCTGGTGTGAGTCAGGTAGTGGGGTGGTGGTGGTGGGGCAGCGTGGTGGCGGGGTGAGCCTGGTAATACTGGTGGTGGTGGTGATGCAGTAGTCGTTGTTGCCTCTACAATGATGAAGTGTTTTGTTATTATTATTGTCGTAGCAGGACAAACCGCGGCGTTAGGTGAACACTTGCATCGGGTTGTAATAGATCAGTAGTCTTGGATCTCTTCTTCCGTGCACCAGTCACGGCTTGGCCCCCTTCCCCCTGGCCTTACTGCTGCACACTCCTAGTATTGCTTTTCCATTGTTATATATATATATATATATATATATATATATATATATATATATATATATATATATATATATATATATATATATATATATATATATATATATATATATATATATATCGTATATAGCCATATATAATATATATATATTTACTATATATATATATATATATATAAAATTAACGTAGATATATGACCGAACCTAACCAACCCTACCTAACCACACATGCACGCACGCATTTACACATACGAGGGTCTGCTTCAATAAGCACGCACGCATTTACACATACGAGGGTCTGCTTCAGGTCAGGTTGAGGAAAATACTCGATTTTGATTGGAAATTTGAGTACGTGTCTTGAATATCTTAACAGTGAGGTGTGAGTACATCTTAGACCCGTCTAAGGGTTAGCTTCACCTTGCAGTGGTTGGCCCTGTCTGTTCACGAATTGGACCCGGATTAGATTGGTGGGCAGGGCGAGGCGTTTGGGCACGTTTCCTTGCACCTGCTGCGTCTGTTCAACTAGCAGTTAATACGTACTCAGTAATTGGGTGACTAATGGGTCGCATAAGTGGCGAACGTCTGTCGGTGGGCAAGGCTGATGAGCCTAACAGATTTCCTGCCCCACAAGAATCATATTTTCTCAAAAATTATTTGCTCCCGGTAGTGGTTTTGCGGTGTTATACCGGACAAGGAAATAGCCACAAGGAAATACAATTTGTTGTTTCATGCATTGTGCCCTTCGAGAATAATTGCGGAGTAAATTGTAGGTCAGTTGCTTTGTAATTCTGTGTGTGGTGTTAAAAATCTTATTCAATATTTTCTTTCCATTTACAGGTAATACTTTTATTATAAGTGTAATACAAAAGAAGTGGGAAGGAGTGTGGGAGGATAGGACGACTAAAGCTGTGTGAAGGATAGGGAGGGAGGGATGTGTGGTGGTGATTGAGAGTTAACTAAACCCCCCTCATTGTGTTTTTTCTTGTCTTTGCAGGCATGTTTCCATGGGTTCCCAGCCAAGCCGTCGGCCCTGGCGTGGGACCCGCTGCTGCGACTCCTAGCCATCGCCACCAAGAACGGCCAGATCAGGATGTATCCTTTTGTATGACAGCCCGAGGTGGGGGGGGGGGGGGTCGTGCTTGCAGGCGCCTCACATACAGGTTTACAGCATTGCGGGAAACTTGGCTAGCGGGGTCATCGCTGGTCACGAAGGAAGTCATTTTAGAGAAAGTAGGTCCAGGCCAGTGTCAGAGTTGACGCTGGAGCTTGTGCTTGCTGACACTGGCTGCTCCACTCAAGTCATGCTCGGGGCCACGTGGGGCTGTTTAACATCAGTATATACAGTAATCTGCATAAAGAGCGCTGCTAGAGTTGTCCATGTATAAACTGTTAATACACTCCGAGAACCGTATGCACGAATGTGATCTATGAGAGGTCTCCTCTTGGGCCTCCTGATGTCCTGACTTGTCCCAGCCAAGTTGCTCTTACAGCAGCTCTTACTGCCACACTTCCACCCACCCACGTAGCTATGCTCTCTCCCCCAGCCCTTGAGGGAGTACTGTGTCCGTGCCGCAGGTCACGGCACCACCTCTTGCTTCAACACTTAGTAATGTATTCGTGTACGTCATCACACCGTCGTCAAACTGTTGGTTGGTTGACCGGAAAGGAAACAAATACAACCAACTATTGATTTAAAAGTGTTGGATGAACATTTTGTTGATTTCAGAAGTGGATTGTGTATGAAGGTAAGTTAAGTGTGCAAGTTGTCACCATGACTCCCAGGTCACCATGGCTCCCGTAGGTCACCATGGCTCCCGTAGGTCACCATGGCTCCCGTAGGTCACCATGGCTCCCGTAGGTCACCATGGCTCCCGTAGGTCACCATGGCTCCCGTAGGTCACCATGGCTCCCGTAGGTCACCATGGCTCCCGTAGGTCACCATGGCTCCCAGGTCACCATGACTCCCGTAGGTCACCATGGCTCCCGTAGGTCACCATGGCTCCCAGGTCACCATCGGTGGGCAGTAATAACCTGTATGCCAAGACTTCCAAGCCCTGTGCCACCTTTACCGCCGCCTATCCTCTACTGTTTAGTCATTGTCTTCACTGTCATTAAAATAGGTTGTTGGTCGTCGCACGTTTCTTAATGCAAATTAATGGTACATCAAATATTCTGGCGATGTTATGGGGTAATCGTGCGCGAACTTAATTACCAAAAACTAGCATTAGGTTCATAGAGTAGGAGTTAGAGATCAGTTTGAATGAACACGAGCGAGCGCATGCTGTTGATCACATCTTGGTTCCCTGCCACATATACATAGATACACAAGATTATCACATGAGATTAAACACTAGAAACCATCTTAAGTAATCTAAATGATAATAACCTAGTTTTCAACAACCATGAAAATTCTTATTAAACTTAAAGTTCATTCTAATATCTCTATGGCTCATCTGGGTACTCAGTTTCCACCTGTCCCCCCTTGAGCGTGTGCCTCACGTGTTAAATAAATTGGCCTTATCTACCCTATCAATTCCTCTGAGAATCGTGTATGTTTTGATCATGTTTCTCCCTAACTTTTCTTGTAGTGACGTGGTCGACGTAGTCTCTCCTCGTAGCCCATACCCTTCAGCTCGGGTGCTAGTCTGGTGGCATACCTCTCAACCTTCTCCAATTTAGTTTTGTGCTTGACGAGATACAGACTTCATGTTGGAGCTGCATACTCCAGGATTGGTCTGACATACGTGGTATACAAGGTTCTGAATGATTCCATACACAAGTTTCTAAAGGCCGTTCTTATGTTGGCCAACCTGGCATATTTTCATTCGAGGTTGGGTATCCTCTTGATGTGGGCTTTATGGGACAGGTCTGGCGTAATATCAACCCCCAGGTCTTTCTCTCCGATTCTTGAAGAATTTCGTCTCCCAAATGGTACCTTGTATCTGACCTCCAGCTCTCTACACCTATTTTCATTACTTTGCATTTGCTTGGGTTAAACTCTAACAGCCATTTGTTGGACCATTCCTTCAGTGTGTCCAGGTCATCTTAAAGCCTCATGCTGTCCTCCGCTGTCTTAATCCTTCCCATAATGGTGGCATCGTCAGCAAACATTGAGAGGAATGAGTATACCCTCTGGAAGATCATTTACGTATATCAAACAGGATAGGTCCGAGCACAGAGCTTAGTGGGACTCCACTGGTGATTTAACGGCATTGTGACGTCTCACCCCTCACAGTGACACTGTTTCATATTGCTTAGGTATGCCGTGTGTGTGTGTGTGTGTGTGCGCATTCACCTAGTTGTGCTTGCGGGGGTTGAGCTCTGCTCTTTCTGCCCGCCTCTCAACTGTCAATCAACTGTTTCTACTACTATTTTTCCCCCCACACCACACACACCCCAGGAAGCAGCCCGTGACAGCTGACTAACACCCAGGTACCTATTTACTGCTAGGTAACAGGGGCATAGGGTGAAAGAAACTCTGCCCATCGTTTCTCGCCGGCGCCCGGGATCGAACCCGGGACCACAGGATCATGTGACCAGCATGCTGTCCGCTCGGCCACCGGCTCCCCGCTCCTGTGTGTGTGTGTGTGTGTGTGTGTACTCGCCTAGTTGTGCTCGCGGGGGGTTAAGCTTCGGCTCTTTGGTCCCACCTCTCAACTGTCAAGGAACTGTGTGTGTATAATATATATTGGTGTATACTGGCAGCAGGTTTTCGTTTAGACATGTTTCATTGAATATGACTGTGCATATTCTATGTTGATTATTTTCTTGTTTTAGGGCTGCTACTCCTCTGACTAGTGATCGTGCATTAGGGTTTAGCTGGAAGGAGGATTTCTCCAAATGTTTTATTGGTTCGAGGTTGGCTAAAGGAATATTAATTAACTGTTTTGTTGTTTTAGTTTCGGCTACAAGGAACACAATTTCTGTGTAGCACGGGCTATGGTGAGCCCGTAGTGTACTTACCTGGCACAGGAGCGAGGTTGTAACTGGTGTGGAACTCAAATAACTGTTGACGGGTGTAGTCAGGTGTAGTGTATTGGGTTCACCATAGCCCGTGCTACATGGAATTTTTTGTTCCGAGTCGTCGTTGTTTTTAGATTCAGCTACAACAGGTGTAGTGGGCATGGCATTTTTGGGTAGTGACGACATGGTTGGCATCTTCGTGTTCCGGTCTTGCTCTCACTCTAATGCTGGGTAGAGTGAATAGTTCCCTTAGTTGAGTATTTATGGTGGGTGGGTCGACTTTTATGCTTCAGTAATTTGTAAGCTTCTTACATCTTGAGTTTTGTCTAATATGCAAGTGTTTTTAATCAACATTTCTCTTGTTAGGGTGATGTCATGGGCTTGTCTCGTGTGACTTTTAGGGGCACCTGATTGAAGTTGACAGGTCAAACGGCATACCTGTGTTCTTGGGTTGAAGGTTACATCCTCCGTGGGAGCAGGTGTACCTGTATACCGCGTCTGACTGTTGTAAAGCGTTCCTGTAAAGTTGGCTTCAGCCTGTTTTATTAATAATGAGGTCAGTGGTCTTTCTTTATAGTATTTGATGTGTATGTTCTGGTTAGGGGATTGTGTTTTTTACTCCTTTACGGATGGTTTCTTTCATTATTCCTTCCTCTTTCTTATATTCACTGTGCATGGTGGATTTGTAATATAATTTTATTAAAGGTGTTGTGGTTTCTGTTCTTGGTTCAGAGTTGTACCACCGGTCCAGGTGTTGTCTTATGGTGGTGGTTATCTCGTGGCTACCATTGCCATTGTTCACCACTACTTCGGGGACGCTAAGCCCAGAAACATCTCAAGATAACCTTACTTGTGTTATCCTTTCAAACTCCCTACTCACGTTGCTCCATTCAGAGCAGTGGGTAAGGGCTCGACGGTTATAAGCGTTGAGAACACTGGCTTTGTGTCTTTGGAGGCACTCACTACTACCGCTTAGGCATACCCCTATGTTGGTAGGCTTAGTATACACACTGCTGCTGTTTTTGTTATTAACACATCCTTGAAAGGCAGACTCCTATTTTTCTTATTCTATTTTTTTCTACTGCTACTTGGCTGCGCCTTGGTTTCTCTTTCCCGCCATTATCCCCCTCTCCTTCCCTCCTCACCTTCTTTCCCAGTCTCCTACCTTTCCTACTCCCACCCTCCACCTTTCTTCCCCTCTACCCTCTTCTAATCTCCCCCAACGTCCCCACCTTCCCTCCCACTATACCCCCCCCCCCCCCCGGTGGGGTTTTCTATTTTGCTTTACCGACTGCAATGCGTACGTCGCCAATATACATGTGGCAGACACTTCACGAAGCTGTCGGAATCAGCAGAGAAAATACGAAAGCAACCGTACGGGGCCTGGGAGCAAGGTCGAGTTAGTGTCCTTGAGGGTCTCTTCTCAGACTAGCCTCACCTGGTCCTGCTCCACGTTGATCGTTGGAATTTCCTCAATGATTTAACACTTTAAGGGACTCCTAGGGTCCTCATCACATTTATAGTTTAGTGAATAATAGGCAACTCGGTGTTGGAGACACCTGGAGCTGAAGGCTTGAGTAAATAGTTGGCAGTATTCAGAAGTCGTTCAACGGAAACACCGCATAAAGCTTAACAGTAGTTTATTTACTAACTTAACCACTAATACAAAGGGTGCTTGATTTACTTTAGATTGGCGTCAGAAAGACTATGGTTGCATTAGTGAGACTCTTGACGTCTGGCTAATCGATTCGGATCCACTCGTGGAGAAATACCTAACTTAACACAGTTGACAGCCAATCATTAACGCAGCAAACCTATCTGCCGGTGTTTAAAGGGATCACAAGAGTTCCAACCGGATCCTCGGGTAATGATGATGCACAATAAATCACAAATACACTGTCAATGGGACAGGCAACAACATGCACAATAATAATGTCACACACTTCTAAATGTGTGGTGTATGTGAAGCTCACATTCACAGACGAGTGTAATGTCGTGATACCGCACAGATAAACACACACACACTGTTGGGTTGTCTTCACCTATACCTGTGTCAGGTATGAGTAGGTGAGAACTGTGGTTGATACCTCAGATAGACACAATAAAACAATGACAAGATCTTGTACTTA